AAAAAAAAAAAAAAAAAAAAAAACACCCCCCCACACACACACACTCACACACACACACATACATACACACTCACACTGATATTATTTTAGGAAACTATTTGAAAATACTTAAATTCTTTTGCGATTGCCTTATAAAATATTGCGATTTTATAATCCTACAACACTACTTGCAATAAAATTGTGCAATACTGTATGTACGGTACTATATGTACTACAATAACCTATTAAGTGCTAAATATTGTTTATCGTAAAAAATGAAAAACTTAGCATAATGTTTACAGATGATTCGCCACATTGCAGTTTTCTGTTTAAGATTCAAGATGGCGGGTAGGAATACTCATGAAGGAACATGCTACTTCGATCATGAGAATGCCTATATACAGTGGCGGAGGTCGAGGGGGCCAAAGAGGCAGATGCTAAGTTGATAGGTGGCAAAATAGGACTTAATTTGTTAAAATAATTGTACTAATTAAGATTAGTGTGCAAGTGCTTCGTATGTGCATATGTACTAAATTTGTATTCCTCAGCCTGTGGATGTGTAGTAACCTTAGCACGCTCCCGTTATGTTCAACCTCCGTCCGCCCCACCGAACATGACATGGCGCCGCACCGCTCGAAGGTACTGTGCAGAGTCCGAGGCGCAAAAAGAACATTATTAAGAAAAGAAGAACCAACAAAATGATTTTGTTATTCAACTACAAAGAGCCGAAAGCGGCATTTGTTATATAGTTGTAAGTTAGTTATAGTTTAGTTATAAGTAGTATATTTAAGATACCAGCCCCCCAACGTAACCAATCCAGCCTCCCAACGAAATGAATGTAAAGCCCTGTTAGTGAATAAGTTCCAGCTTTTCCAGCAGAAGCTCCTCCTTTTGCTGCAGAAAAGAGTTTACTTGGGACTGAAACTTTTGTATCGAATTTAATCGTTTAATGTCATCTGGCAAAGTGTTGTAAAATAACGTGTGTGTGTGTGTGTATATATATATATATATATATATATATAACTCCTTGTACATTTCCAGCCTCCCCCTCCTTTATGGGCTTTCACTTCTCCCATTCCTTAGTAGCCTCCTAGTTGTTTCCAACATATCGCTTAGCATTTTTTAATGTGATTCATGTAGCTTTAGTAGTAAAGTAATTTATATAAAGTTATTTTTCTCACATTAATTTTGCAAACCAATATTTTTCTTAAATTTCTTTTTGTCCTTTCATACTGTAATGTTATTTCTTATATTTCCTATATTGCATTATTATAGACCCACTGAAGATTGAGAAGTGTTCTCCAAAGTTGATTTTCGGTATGAATGTTTGAATAAATATTAACACTTTTATTGTTGTGGTTTATCTATTTCTTAATTCATATTATGGATTCCTACAAGATATCTACTACAACTCTATTTAAACATAGTAACTTCAGAAACATTTGTGTTCTGCTTCGTAAGAAAATATCTCATCTAAAAAAGAAAAGCAACAGTTCAACCGTATTTACTTTTTGAAAAAAGACATTGTATTTATTTCAAAGAAATCAAGTTTATTGCTTTCATTTTACAACTAAAAAAAACATATGTTTCTCACAGCAAGCAGTGCATCCTCCAGTGTTGCAGTAAATGATTCCAATAAATTTGTAGGAATGTCACTGATGAAACCAACTGTATCCACATATAGAACTTTCATGCGACAAGGTAGCATTCCCATATGATTAGTGACATCTAAAGTTGCAAATAATTTGTTCTCTGGCTGCATATTTTTATCACCAGTCAGAGCTTTTATTAAAGATGTTTTACCTGAAAGAAAAACATCAAAGAACTGCAAATATAAGGATGAAGTTTCTAAATTTGTTAATAATTCAGTAAAGTATCATTTTATCACAAAAACTATACATTTTACACATAAGAAACATCAAAACATATTAAATTAGTATTTAAAGTCATATTTAAAATTGCATTCTAAAAGGAAAAGGACCAAGATGTCACTTCTTTTCCAAATTACTGGATTTTGAATGGTATACAGAATAACCCAATAACATTTTCTGATATTTTTGTTTTTAGAAAAACATATTTAAAAAGCAGAAACCAGCTTCTAAAGCTAAACTTGTAGAAATTAATACATATAGGAATGTAATATTTTTCAGCCTACGTATTTAAACAATTTGTGACGAAAACAACAAAAATCCACTTTAGAGCATTTTTATTACATGTCAAAAGCTGTAAACTTCTAACAAACATAAAATAGCATCTCAAAAATGATGCATAACGTAACAAGATAGTTTTGTTTCTTCCCTTTAAAGCCCTTTTCTTTTCGAAAACTCTTTTCTGTAGTACCTATACCTAAGACTTAGATCACACAATGATTTTCTCCAGAAAAAAAGGAAGAAAAGAAAAGTTTCAGCAAGAAAACCTATTGCAGCATGTGAATTTATTATTTATACAATAAATTATTAAAATACTTCAGTACATATATTCCACATTCAATACAACAGGTTTAAACCACAGAGTAACCACACATGTAACGTCTGTGATGACTGTGCATTATGGCTGCAGATACACAAGTGTTGAAGGGAATGAATTGTCTTTCTGGACAATTGGTGTAGGTAAGTTTCTTTAGCTCATTAGTCTTAAATTTATGTATGTGTTTTTATTGATAACACAAGACTACAAAATGAAACTTGTTGATGTGTAATCATCAGAAATGTAAGAATCATTTTCTATTAAGTTTTTACCACAGATTTTTGCTTTCAGATTTGAGCAATTACCCATTTTTTCTACAACAGAGAATTCATTTATTACTTTAAAAATCAGCTATGTATTTGCTTATAAATTGTGTTGGTAGAGGGAGAAAGGAAAGTAAAACTTCAGTGACATTCTACAGCCCTGTTTTTGCTATGTCCACAAAAGAGTTGAGAGAGAGAGTTGAAAGAGAGGAGAGAGAGAGAGAGTTGAAAGAGAGGAGAGAGAGAGGAGAGGAGAGAGGAGAGAGAGAGAGGAGAGGGAGAGGGAGAGAGAGAGCAGAGAGAGAGAGCAGAGAGAGAGACAGAGAGAGAGAGAGAGAGAGAGAGAGAGAGAGAAAGAAAGAGAAGAAAGAAAGAAACCTAAGCCGGGTTTTCTAGCTGACATTAGGTCGAACTCCCTTTGCTGAAGCAAGTCAGTCTTTACCTTTTCTTTCCTTATCCGTTAACTTCCATCTAGCATGTTTCCGACGTAATTCTCCTTCAAAATTCAGTACTTATCGTAATATTATTTTTTTTAAATAAAATTTAATAAAGCAAGTATTCATACCTGCATTTGTGTAGCCTACAACAGCCACAACTGGATATTCCATTTTTTGGCGTTTTGCTCGCAACAGTGTTCGATGTTTCCTCAATTTTTCCAGAGCTTGTTTTATTTTCGTCTCACGTAGAGCCAAAGATTGTTTTTGAATTTCCACTACGGTTTCTCCACCACCACCCACACCCTGCACACCACCAGTTCCACCACGTTTATCTATAGTTCCTTCATCTCTGTCATTCAGCTGAGACCTGGAAAATAAATTGAATCATATGAAATGACTTGTCAATAAAACGTCACAATTTCCTTCATACTGCAGGGATATGTTAGCGTCAGATTCACAATTACCACTTCTCCCGTTTCCAGCCACTATTCAACCAAATGAACTTACGATAACTTTCCTCGCCTCAGAATCCACAATACTACACACGAGTGTAATCGAGAATTGGTAAGTGTTGACCACCGTACCATTATGCAACACTTGTATTCAAAGAACATGGTTCAACATTCGGCTGTATGTGTACCGTATGCCCTTAGTCAAAATCACAAAAGTCATTGGATTGCTATATATACATCTTTATTTGCTCATCATCGGTTGTCGATCGTGAATCGCATCGAAGTGATTGTCAATTTGTGTCAAAAATCGTTTATGATGAGGGGAATTGGTGTCTATATGTTAACTCAAGAAAAGGAAAGGACTGGCTGAGCAAAAGAGCAACTCCCCCACTAAGGCTAATGAGCATCCTCAAAAGATGTTACCTATCCGGTGGGACAATGACAGCGTGGTGATCTAAGGAGAAGCATTCACAAGGAGAAACCATCATTGGCGACATTTATTACCGACGTCTTGCAACCGCAATCGGCGAAAAACGACAAACGAAACAGCGTGAAGTGATGCTACTGCACAATAACGCCAGGTCGCACACTACTAACCTGACAGAAAAGACTTTCCAGACGTTGGGTTGGGAAGTCATGCTCCCTTATTTATCTGATCTTGCGCTCTCAGATTTTCACCTTTTCTTATCTCGATAGAACAACCTTCAAGGAACTTCTTTCCTGAATGAAAATGCGCTTCAAATATAGTTTGACATCTTTAACCCCAATCCAGAAGATTTCTGTCTGGTATGGAATCTAATCCAGTGTTAAAAGTATTGTAATTGCGTAAGAAAATATTGTAACGTATTAGCCAGCGAGCCTCGTGGCATCTATTTGGGGACGCATGGTAAGGGATTAGTAACAGGAAACCGCCTGGCCACAAGAGGGAGAGAAGGGTTTTTCCTGAAAGCCAGTACGCGGCAAAGGGAGAGACGAGGCTTTGGGGTCCTCCGGTCTTAAGGAACGGAGACCCAAACCTCATGGCAACCAGAGGGCCCTGCGGGGACGGCGTGACGTAGTAGGTCACATGAGCTTCGAGTATATAAGGGAGTGCACGGAGCCAGTGGGTGGGTTCTGGGGCCAGTGGGAGAACCTCGTGCAGTTGCACAAAACTTGGCGCCACGACTGTGCTGTGGCGGGCAGGGCTCGCGAGGCAAGTCACGTGTTGACGAGCCTGTGGAGGACTTTGTGTCCTTGGGTGACTGCGGTCACGTGGGAGCGATGCTGTGTGCGTGTTCCGAGGGGAGGAGTGGTTGAGTACCACGATTCACGCCGATTCTCAATCGGATAAGATCGCTCCTGCGATCGAGGCAAACCATCAGTTGGTACGCCAGTACGGACATTGTGTCCCAGTGTGACATTCGGTCACGGAAGCTAGGCTTTGTGCGCGCTTCAGAAGTAGGAGTGACGAATGCCACAATCGAAACCGATGATCAATCGGGCTTGGATCGCTCCCGCGATCAGGGGATAGTAGGTCTATCAGAGCTAGGGTATAAGAAGGAAATTAATTGTATATATTTGTTGTGTTTTCTTAGTAATAAATATATTTGTTATATGAAAAGCTCTTTGAAAAACGTTTTGACAATATTCGTATAGAACATTTTTATTACTCCCGTGAAAACTGTACATATTATCCCTTAATCAGTCCCAAATTTCAACTTCTACGCCATTCATTTTTTCATACTTAATTAGTTGGTGAATCTGTGAGCAATGGAATATTTTTCTTCCTTTTGTTTCTGTCACTCATGGGCATTTTTGAACAAGATATTAAAAACAAGAACCAGTTATGACAAAGGCTTCATTATTCCAAGTTGATATACAAAGGGAGTAACAAATTTTCCTCCGCCGATCCGGTGGCCGAGATCACTAAGGCAGTAGTGCCGTAGTGAAACGGAAACCGCCTCGGGCATGGTTTATTGGGTTCGTCCTTTCACCCCCTATCATCATTATCATCATTATCATCATCATATAGTGTCATCCTCACAGTTACCATACCGTTACAAGCAATAGTGGTAGGTAATGACATAGAAGTTGATGCGGCCTTAAATTACAAACCAAAAAAATTTAAAAATTCTATGCGTCAATTACAGGATAATTTATTACATTTTTTGCCCCTGGTACTGTGTACGTATTTTTTCAGACAAGCTGTAACTTCCCAGTGTCTTTCTTTAGCTCATAAATACCATTGACGTGAGAAGCATGGACATTTAATGAATCCTCCCCAAAGTCCCAATAAAATGTTTCACAACTTCAAATCACAACGTACGTACCATTTGTGTTCACTATTTTTAAATTTTTAAGAATACCGTGTAAATTTTGGCAAAACTTTCTTGAGTGATGTAATAGCGCTATTGGAACAGACGCAAATTTATTTCCATTTTGAAGGTCACTTTTAAATTTCTTTTATTAGGATATATGATGTTCCTAGACGTCCAATTAAACTGGAAATACCGGAAAAGTTCACCACAATCCCTTCCTTTGAAAAATATTGGTTGAATTTATCTACTCACTTCTATACCAGTAGAATTTCGTTCCACTATCTACAATATTGTTTTTTGTTAATTGAAATATCTGGGGAGTAACGTTCCATTTCGATTTCAAGGACGTCAAATGTTTTTTCATCAAGATCTTCATTTCACTTTTAATATTATGTATGGTATGGCAATTATTAATATAAATGGAAGATGTTTGCGAATCATTGAAGGTCAACAAAGTCATGTCGTCGGATGGACAAAAAGTTAGGTTCTGAATTTTGAAGGCGAAGTCACAGACATATTTTTCAGAAACCTTTCTCTGCATAATGTCTTTAAATTTTATTTTTTCGCCCTTAATTCATAAGAAGAGAAAGTATTGTAATCATGCGTCGAAAACAGGGAATTGTCGACAGAAAAAATCTTCTGTCGACAAATCGACTGTCTGCCGGTCCTGGTAACGAAACAGTGGATCACTCTTGTATTCCTATCTAGCAAAATGCCGGCCCGTCCGTCCTTCTGTGGTCAACGCTAGCGCCTATACCGTTCCGCCGATTTTCTCCAAAATGTATACTCCCCCATCAAATTAAATTAACTCAAGGCCCTATGTGTTTGAAACAAATATTATGATTTGGGGGAGGGGTACTTTATAGTAAGGGGGAGGGGTAATAAAGTGTCAACGTTTTCTTTTTTTCAAAAATATCTAATATTTTTAAAACTTTGTCCTCGGATAGCTTAAAGAATGCGTAAGAAAGTGGTTCAGCCTCATTTTTGTTGAAATCACTTTTTCAGAAAATACAAAAGTTGATATTTGAGCGTCTTCCAACAACAATATTGAAGATGGAGATTTTTTCTAGAGTGAAATGTATTCTTTCAAGACAAATAAGGTCATGTGAACTTTTTCGAAAATATGAGTAGTTTTCGCGAAATTTTGCCTAGAATATAGACACTTTTTTAAAACAAATTAATGATTTTTTTTCTCAAAAAGGCTCCAATTTTTAAAATTTTCTTCGTATGTATCAAAGAATGATAAAATCGGAGGCAGTTTCATTTCAAAATATTAACATTTCAAAACTACAAAATTGAACATAGAGATTTTAGCTTTAAACAAAATCACAAGGAAAAAGAAAGGAAGGAAAATGTTTGAAAAATTGTACAGTTGCATCTTATTGCACCTTATTTCAATATCTATCTTTTAAGAACAGATTTTATGGAGGAAAATATCTCTATATTTAATATTTTAGTTGTAAGACACCTAATAATAATTGCACTTTCGTCATAATTGCCCTTTTCATGTCAAGTTTCTCTCCGCTCAGTATTACCGTTCCAACGACATCCGCAGACCCATGGCTCCATCCGTGAAAAATTTAATGTCTAGTAGAATTGGCTGTGTAGTCACATGCATTTTGGACTCTCACTGATGCCAAATCAAATTGGGGGGGGGCGTGCTAGGTGAATAGCACGTAGAAACTATTCAAATGTATTGCACAAACGTTGGCTAAGTTGTGCTGAAGACGTTTCCTTCCCCATTATTCTTACCATTCCGCCAACTAGAGAATGTTCGCATAATATAAATGTATTTAGGTAGCTAGAATGCAAGAAAGATACACCTTAGAACTTACTTTCCAAGAACGTTTTTAAAAAAATTATTGCGTCTACTTAGACGCAATGCGTCTTCAAGCCCCTTGGCCCTTGGGGGACGATGAGCGCTTCGCGGTTTTGGAGTAATCCTCCATTAATTAACATAGTCCGTCACGTCTTGTCTCAGTCCGTTGTCAAGAGGACTGCCAGCTATAATATATTTTCAGGCATAATTATGTGATTACAATTGAGTTTGTTGCGAGTTTAATTAAAAACATGATTGAAGTAATCATCGTGAGCTCTTTGAAATCCGGAATTGATGGTCTGATAATTTACATTCGTTTGATGAAATAGATCGCACTCATACATCTACTCTTTGTCATGATTTGTATCAATTTTTTAAGTATTTCCATTTTTAGTGACTATCTTGGAACACTGGAAACTAGACTTGTGAAAAGTACTCCTAACCAACTACACTCTCACTGATTTGACCTTTTGAGGTATGAAGAGCTGGTGCTCCAGCCCATATGGCTGGCGGAAGAATACATTTCCTGGAACGATGCGGTCTTCAGTGATTATCAATTATTTTGGAGCCTGTCAAAAATCGTCTACTGGCCTGAACGGACCATACAGAGTGTTGCGAAACATAATCAGTCTACGTGTCAACTTGCTCCCCATTACTAGCCAAGTTAAAAGAGCGTCAGATATGAACGCGGAGCATGGACTAGCAGAAGGACGTTGAGGGAAGGGGGCAGCGATGAATCAAAATTTTGTTGGATTTGGGAGTTCACCAAATACGAATGTGGATGCACTCCCCGCAAAGCGCCAAACCAAGGTTAATTGTGGAGCGTCCCGCTGTCTGAGTCTCTAGTGTGGCAGTGGGGGTACATCGCATATTACTCCCCAATTCCACTAGTGGTGAACCAGGGTCATCGACCGCCTGAAGCCGAGTCGAGGAAGTCCTGGAATCACATTCTTTCCTTTCCGAACACCTTGTTAAAGGAAGATAAAGCCTGTTGCACACAGAACGAGCGTCGCTTAACTGCCTTCGTAATGTCAACAAGATTCCCACACAGGTCACCGATCAGGTACACGAAGGGAAAACAACAGCCAGCATAAACTCCTACAATGGAGAAATCTAACTTTGGAGAACATGACTCGTCTCTTTCTTCTTACGGTTCTTTCCTTGCGCGTAATGTCGTGTTTTCATTCTAGGGACGATGTGACATCCTAATAAATGTGAGATTACCGTGTGCATTTTTCTTTATTAATTGCGTATTGCGGTCTAAAGTGATCAATTTCACGCCATTGCGACGGTTTCTTCAAGATTTGTTTGTTTGTTTTGCGTTCATTTGATCTTATCTTATCTAAAAGAAGCACAGAAAATTTGAGCTATACTCTTACCAAAACTAGCATTGATAGTATGGCTAATTTCCTTGAAAGGCATCCACAATGTGTTTAAAAACGAAAATGTAATTTCGTTTTCAACACTTCCTTCATTGACATCAAAGTTGATTTTTAAGAAACAAGTTCTTACCACATGTACGGAATTTCGGCCATTGCGACTTGCAGTTTAGCTTCTCGTGAAGTAGCATGTTGACGGAACAAATGAATAATGATAGTATATCTGTCGAAAACAGGTACTCCAAATGCACGTTGCAGTTCCCTGAAAAAAAAGTTAAGGCATTCGAATCAGAGTTTTCCTTAATTTTCGCTTACAGTACAGAATCGATAAACGGACAAAACCATGTCTAAAACATCATTTGCCTCAAGATTGAAATAAGAAGGAATGTTTTTTTAAAAGAATCACTGAAAATTTGAGGTTCACTTCTTGGTGTTCAACATAATATTTACACTTTCTTTTTTTATATCTACTATCCATTACTAAATTTAAAGTTAAAGAAGTTATGTAACAATAGTTATTTATTTTACGAGTGGACAAATAGGTCATTATGTGCGAGTTAGTAAGAGAAACCAATGGCCTATTACCCCTGTGTAATGTATGTACGATCTCCTCCGGTACATTTTTAGGATTTTGACGTACGGCGGTATATGATATGAATATTGACTTTGGCGATAGCAGTCGCATGATATGCTCCATTTGAACTGAGTGGTGTTTGAAGGCAGGAAGCGAACGAAGCGCAATTATTCAAATAATTCCCGAAAGTATTTGAATTGACGCCGCTAAGAGTGTGGAAGAAGAAGACGAAGAATGAGGAACAAAAAAAAGGAAGAGAATATGATTTGATGGGTTTTATTTTCGTCAGAAAACAATAAAAACTGTATGCGACGTCCGGGGACGATCTGCGCACTTTTTCTGGAGCTCCAGGATATCTTCCCTTTAAACTACACATAAATGAATGATGGCTAAAAGTACTAACAAAGCGATGGTAGGAATATTTGAATCTAGACAATTTTGCTCTCAAAAACACTTGTATGCATCGCCAAACATAACAGCATCTCATATCCCTCTCTACTCTTACCACAACTAGCGAAAACAGAGCTCAACAAAACGTGCCCCTAATGAAGCTACATTTGTGTTCAGAAGCAAAACCAATCTTTGTTTAGAAAAACGCAATAATGTGTTGTTTACCAAACTGTTGCTAGGCAACCCTTTACTACATCGGACGTAGTAAAGAACCATTTTATCCACACTGAGCAAATAATAAAACAGCATATAAAAGTGATCGGATAAAAGTCTTTACTTAATTACTTATGTATTCATGTTTTCAGTTTACTTCACCACACAACATTATGATGTGGTTCTATGTAGCTCCTGAAGGATTTGTTAAAGTAGTATAATTTGTTGAGTATCCAGTTCATAATTTTCAGTAGTTTGTATGATTTTGTAATACAATCCCAATGTAGTAATATAGTTACCATTCAGTATAATGTCAAATCACAATAGAGACGGAATATTTGCAAAATATACACAGTGAATTCTGTATCTTATTAATATTTCCAAATTTGTTTGAAAAGGAAAAAATATCTACTCTAAAAAGATTGGTCTCCCCAGAATACTGTAAAGCACAAACAGTTGCGAGTTGCTTCTTACCTATGTTGTGAGCTTGATAATGTTTTTGTACTAATAAAAACTGCTGTTATTCTTTCATTGCGACGAACATTCTTTTTCAGCATTTCAAAATTTCCGGAACCAAAAAATGACTTCTTTTTAAAAGATTTCAATCCAATAATCATCTATAAAAGGTTTATAATTAAATATAAACACACCCTAAAATACATTTTGTTAAATTATATACTACAAAGACAGATCAAGAGATTTTTTATAGTATATACTACAAAGACAAATCAAGAGACATGGAAAATGAAGAAGAGCTAGATATTGTGCTAGGCGTGTTTCCTCTCGCCTTTCATCTTAAAATAATAAAAAAACTTAAATTAGAATAATATTAGGCCCACATTACCTTATCAGCAACTTGCCACCCATGTAAAGACTGCACCAAAGCAACTGCTTCCTCCAATTGAAGTTCTGGTGTTGTATTCCACTTCTTCTTAGTTCCCCATTTTACATGAGGTTGTATGACAAAAACAGAATGCTTGTCAGCTACAGGTAGCAATTCCCTGCTCCACTTTTCAAATACATTATCTTCACTTGAATCTATAGTCTTTAAGTAATCATCATCTACTTCAGTATCATCATCTTTTTTCCACAGGACAAAATTGGATTTTGAAAACTCTCTTTTCAAAGTCAAGATATTAACGAAAGGAAGTTCCAAACCTATACGGTACATGTAACGTGGATTATTGTGTTGTGACAGAGGAGTAAAATAAAATGGATATTTTGAAGAGATAAGTACACTTCGTTTAAGGAAAAAATTGGCATAAGTGAAGAATTTTTTGCTATTTGTATTATGTACTAAATATAAAACACGAGGTACTGTACGACACGTCCTGTAAACCTGTGTTGATGCCATTGTATCCTACTAATGACAGTTTTCTGTTCCTTAAAACTTCATAAAGTTATTTTATTTTAAACGAACAAAAAATTTATTTTTGCTGAGGAGTGTGATCAGAAAGATAAGTAACTTTATCTTCAGCTGCCATCCAGCCTGCTTGGCAATTCTTTGTGGCTCGAGATGTCAGAAAATATGTAATTCCAGTGGACACCGCAGTAGACACTAAAATAAAATTCTTATCGTTATATGGTAGATACTTTCTGAGGCCTTTCTGTGCAAAGTATGCTGATGAAAATGCTGAAAAATAAAACAGAAGAGTGCAGTTCAAAAGCATACTTGAAACAAATTCACTTCGGAACAAACACATGAAGTAGTATCCATTTAAAAATGAATGTCCCAACTATAATCTACTTGAAGTGTTTGTTCCGATTCAGAAAATTCGAGGCAGAATACCAATCCAAATCCAAACACACACACACACACACACACACACACACACACACACACACACGTGTGTGAATAAAGAATTACATCTCGCTTAGTTTGAATTATTACTCTGCTTAAAGTAACGCCACCAAATGATTGTGAATTGTAACTGCTTTTGTATTATACCGGGTCCTCATTTTTATCTTGAAAATCATGCCTGGGAGCACCTTCTCTCTTTTGGCAATTTGGCAACCGCGTATCTTGGGATAGCACAGGAGGTGTGTCAGGACATAACTGCAGAAATTTTCCTTTTTCTATGTTTTTCCAAATCAATATTTTGGGCAGACAGATACGCGGTTCACACATCAGAATCTTTTCGCACGGAGCATCGTGGGGTGGGGTGGGTGGACAGTCGATTCTGTCCAGCATGCTTAAGAAATAAAACTATGATACTGAAGATCTGGAGGGAAGTTAGTCTGATTTATTACAATAATGTAACAGTAATTATTAATTAACGAAAGCATGCCCAAAAGACATCAGAAAGATATCTCGTGAAATATCACCGCTAAGTTCTTCAATATTTATAACAATGTATTATTATTATTTTGTTTTTATTATATTATTATTAGTGATCCCAGAAATGCTTCGCTATTTGCGATATATTACCTTCACACGCCACTGGTCACGGGATTGTTAATCACGTTTTACGCTCCGCTCTGCAAACATTTTAATAGATGAAATACTTTCTCGCGGGTATCGGTTTGTCCTATGTTCTGCTTTGAACATAGTTATCAAGTTTACTTTTGTTAAAACGTTCTCCCTCAAGTTTGGGCATGCATTCGCTATGACAGTCTTGGAGAAATTTGGTTTACTTAACCGAGATAACGTTCAAGTAATTATTCCGGCCGATATTTCACAATAGTAGGGCTGAATACGCAGTGAAGACGCGCTTAATACTTGAGGGTGCGCCCGGTTGCGTAGAGCTTCTGTTCAAGGGGGCCTGAGTCAGCATAAACGAGTAAAATTATCAACGCCCCATTTCGTGTCTATGTACGACAGACATACACACATTCCCATAGTTGAAATAAGTTGATAAATTTTTTTCGCAGCTCGACAGTGCATAAAATTCATTGATTTTTTATTTTATTTTACAATAATAATAATAATAATAATAATAATAATAATAATAATAATAATAATAATAATAATTGAATATGAAACAGTAACCAAAGAGACTATAACAGCCGTAAACACGAATGAATTTTACAAATATC